AGTTTAAGCTGCACACGGGGGGGGGTGGTCCCTTCCCTCTCTGCGGTGGGAGAGGGGTGCTGTCTCGCCGAAGCCGAAGCTACAAATGAGGCGCGGGACATCGCTATAAGCCGATCCCGAGCACCGAAGAAGGGCAACGGCAAGGGCAAGGAAGGCGGCGCTGGGCAACTCTAGGACTCCGGAGGGCAATCCAATTTGCTTCCGCGACAACGCCAAGGGCTGCGCTAAGGATGCAAAGTGCCACTTCGCGCGCGCGTGCGCATGCTATGCTTCGTGGCAAGCACCGAGCTACCAAGTGGGCTAAGACGAGGGGCGGCTCTGGCTCGGCATGGAGACCGAGTACCCGCACGCAGAAGCTCGGGCTTTGCCTGAAGCGTGCGACTTGGCTGGGCTGGGCCACGCAGACTAACCCTTCGCCCAGGGCTAGAGACTCGGATTTGCCGCCATGGGAACGCCCTTATTTTCTGGGGCCGCTACACAGCGCTTTGGGCCTGCGCCCAATTCCAACTGCAGCTTCTCCGAAAGGCCCTACAGGGAGAACTGGCGGGTAGGGGAAGACAGGACCACGTGGAATCAGAGAACCCTTCGACATGCCCGTATCCACCTCTTGCGAAAGTCCTCATGGGGACGCTGGAGCACCTTCCTCTTGTGATCTGTGATCAGTTTGGAAATTACGCGGTCACGGACATGCCGCCAAGCGTGAAAGCCCACTCCGAGAACTCTTCCAGTGGATGTCGATCAAATGGTGGAGGGGGGAGCAGGCCCTTACAGTAAAAGATTCTGCCCAGCCCTAGACGTGGAAAGACACATCAAAGGCGGGGTCGGGGACGACTGGCTCCAGAAGGCACAAGACCGGAGCTCCTGAAAGGATGCGGAACCCGACTTCACACAGCACATGATCCACCATGCGCATCCGGGAAGCAAGCCGCGTTGGGGAACCTTGCTCCAACTCCACCGCGCCGCAGAAGGGGGACAAGTCCAAGGACCGACACATGTAGAATCAGATCAAGCCGAACAAGGGCCGAAGACATCGTGAACTATCACGAGGCTGCAAGACGTTCCTGCTGGAAGTGTTTGCTGGCGCGGCGATGCTTACCCAGATGGCCTTACATGAGTGGTCTATGCCGATTACGCCTCCAGTGGATTTGAACACCGGCTACGACCTTCTCACCAACCAAGCAAGGCCGTGACGGTCCGTGACGAGGTGGACCGCATAGCCACGGGAGCAACAAGAAGCAAGATCATGGCCGAGCGAAGACGCTGGCAACCGGCGCTGGCTTGGATGTATGACGTGGCCAATGGCCAAGGATCGCCTGGCCAAGGGACGCCGCGTCATCATTGAGAACCCTTGTGGAACTTGGCTATATGTGGGAATGCTCTCAGTCCCAGAAGTTCTTCCGGTCGTACTCACACGACCAAGCCACCCTCGAGCCCATGGAGTGTGTGAAGGTTGACCAATGCATGCTTGGCCGGAAGGACGACGCCAACCGCCTCCCACACCTCACAAGCCTACTGGCTTCCTGACCGCTTCCAGCGAGGTCAAGCGAAGGCTGTATGGAGCTCAATGTGATGGTTCTCATGTTGGACAGCAAGAAGCGCTCGCTGCGTGATGGCGCAGATGGCCCCGCGAGACCTGTGTTCTACCATCATTCAGGGTCTCGTGGCGGAGCTCGACTACTTCCTCACCATGGCGGCCTTCCCCGCTGAGGCCCAAACGGAGCTCGAGGTTGCCCCAGACAATGAAGGCGGGGAGACAACCTACTTGGACGCCCTCGGTCCACCAGCCCGAGAGCACCAATGGCGGCAGCTTCCCTCAACACACGAGTGGCACATCGGCGACTACACCACATGCATGACAGGACATGCTCCACCTTCGGCCATGCAAAGACTCTTGAGGACAGCAGGAGCCGCTGCAAGCGCCATACGTGCTTTGGAGAACTTCCGTTTGGAAATACAAGGTGATGTCAGTGATGTCAGTGGTAGACCTCGGGACCCTCTTCCATGCGGCGGTGATTGTCGGAGAAGGAGGAGGACCACCGAGTTCAGGAGACATGGCCAAGGAAATGCAGTTGATATGGTTTTCATGGGTCGGACCGCCGGGATCCATAGTATTGGACCGTGGACTCGAGAACAGGGGGCAGCTTCAGAAGTTGATGACTTCCCGCGGAGTTCTACTGCGCTACATGGGAGTAGAAAGCCCCTACCAACTTGGAAGAGGCGAAAGACATGGAGGAATCCCCAAGGAAGTGATCAAGGCCCTACAGCCCGGCAACTACGAGGACGCCAAAACATGGAGTTTGCAGTGACAGAATCGGTGGGGATCAAGAGCCACCGCGTGAACCACAATGGCTTCTCGCCTGAACTGGAATCTCTCACGACCCTCCTGCCGGAAGCCAAGCTTGGAATCCATCAGGAAATCCTCGATGGCGAGACGAGTTTCGCCCAGCAGATGATGATTAGAGGAGCTGCTTCGGAAAAGTGTGCCAGGCCGTGGACCTTTCAACATGGACGACCTGGTGTGCTTCCACAGACGGCAAGGAGGCAAGGCCGGATGGAAATGGTTTGGTCCGGCGAGAGTCATCGGACAAGAAGGACGAGGCACTCTATGGATATGCCATGGAGGTATACCGATGACTGTGTCGGCCGAACAATGTCGACACGCTGCTGGTGGCGAGATGATGTCCAAGCGAATGCTGGAGGTGAAGCCCTCCCGGAAACGACGTCGGGAGGACATGGCGACTGTGGAAGATGAGGCAAAGCACATGGACGACGACCCCTTCCTGGACGACCTCATCGGAGTTGGAAGTGTCGCAGAAAACCAGCATCAAGGCTTTTTCGACCACGGTTGGGCCTGAGGCCCATGACGGACAGGAGATACCGCGACTTCATCTACCACCACCTGGACTCTCTCCTTCAGCAACAGACCAAGGCTAGATGCACCCGACGAGCTCTTCGGTGACTAATCAGTTAGACTTTGGTGGGCAGGAGATACCTGGACTTCACATGCTACCAGATGGGGGTCCAGCTACAGCAGCTATGCCTGATGTACCAGAGCAGTGTGGGGTCCCCGTCAATTTCCGCAGGTGAGCCTGAACAGGAACTGGTCCCACCTAGTCGTGACGTCAGTGACCCACCTGATCCACTACGTCCCACGTCTTCGTCTTCAATCACGGCACCAGTATCGAGTAGCCCTGCTAGAGCGCTCCGTCCTCTACATGCACTTCGAATCTCTCCGGACGCACTGGATGGCCTGGGTGACTATCAGCGAGAATCCTGAGGTTGGCAAAGGTCTTCATGGTTTTCTTGCAACAAGGAGCTGAACTTCACGAAGGCTACCGGAGATGAACGCGAAGGCATACAAGAAGCCAGGAAGCGCGAATGGGGCAACTGGCCAGGCTTCGATGCTGCGGAAGTGATTCCGCCGGAGAAGGTGAAGGAAGCCTTGGCCGAACATCAACCTTGGCTACCTCCCAAGTACAAGTCACGCATAGTTGTACGTGGTGACGTGGAAAGTGGTGCTTCTACGCGAACGGGCTCTCCAACCTGTTCGGCGACCATGCTTGGTTTACTGCTTTCCTTTACGGCCAACCGACAGCTACGACTATGCGGTGGGGACAGCGCCGCCTCCTTCCTGCAGGGCGAAAAGCTGTTTCGAGTGCTACTTCTCAAACCTCCACCTGGCGGTCTTCCCGGAGTTCCAGAGGGGTCTTTGTTGAGGGCTTTGAAGCCTGTTCACGGAACACGAGATGCACCTCGAGGCTTCTTCCAGCGTCTCCACAACGCCGCTGTCGCACAAGGACTACGAGCTCTACCACACGAACACGCAGCTTATGTTCTACAAGACGAAGAAGGTGTTCATGGGATGATGTGGCCCGCCTGGACGACCTTCTTTGGGGGCACTGAGCGCATGGACAGCGTGATGGAGGCGATCACCAAGGAGTTCAAATTCGGCACCCTGGAGTTTGGAAGCACGTTTGACTACTGCGGACGCACCATTACCCACGAGACCGAGGGCATCCGGGTGACCTGCCCGAACCACGCTTCGAAGGTCCGCCCAATCCCTTTTTGGATGCATGGGGACGACGCCAAAGCACCGAGCCCGAACATGAACAACTCAGAAGCGTGGTTGGAAGTCTAAGCTAGGCTAGACGGTGAGAGTATGCCGCATGGACATCGCCTACGAGGTGAACTATTTGCAGGCCGTGATGCAACAAGCAGTGGTGG